TAATTTGTTTAATGTGTTACCAGGTACATTGGAAAGAAGTGGTATGGGTATGGGTATAGGCACAGAAGGCACTCTACTGCGACGTTTACTCGCGCTGGCGGTGCGGCCGAGCCCGCTCTCAGGATCGCACTCTCCACGAGACCTCGCCAACGCCGCCATCGCCTTAGTGCAACAACTAGCAGCACACGTCGCTGGTCAGTGCGTTACTAAACCCGTAATGTTTTAAAACTAATTACAGTATGAATTTGTGATTTTCGAAATGTTTAGTAAATCGTTGATATATAATTTATATTGTTTCGTTTGCTAGGAGATGAAAAAGAAGTTGATTCCCCACCGGAAGTGCCAGTTGTGGCCAAGAGTAATGCGTTGCAGTTCTCTACGGGTCCTTCTACTAGTACAGCATCATTATGTAAGTTCGATGTTGATATTTGATGTGTTAAACTAATTCAGTTCATACTAGTGTTTTTCTATCCATGAACATTATAGATAAAAGCTGTTCTCTTATTTTAGCAAGAAAAGACTTAAACTCATGGGCGAACTCGTCTCAAGTACAGCAGGTTATAGAAATGGGTTTCTCCAGACATGCCGTCCATGCAGCTATTCAAACATTGGGTAAACCTTCCTACATTAAAATCATATTTAATTCAATAGTTCAACAATTACATATATTTTATAACTACACTTAACATATAGGTGGTAACTTCGTGCCGACTGTTGAATCACTGGTCGCATATCTACTGGAGCAACAGCAGCATTACTTCGACGAGTCTACGTCAGAGGTGAAGGCGCACACGTCGAAGCAGGAGAAGCGACCGGCGCCGTACCGCTGGCGCAGTTGTTTCTCGTCCGAGGAGGAGTACGCTCAATACCTCTCTGACGTCATAGCTCCAGGAATGACTGTACGATGCTGTAAGGCGTATGAAGCTGTAAGTTTTTTATTGTTCCAACAGTTGCAATGTGTAAAAGATATTAATTTTTAAAACTCGTAATGTAATTCTTCAGGTTTCCTTGGGCGACGTTGGCCAAGTACAAAAGATAGAGCGTGATAACAAACAAAATGTATTTTTGCACGTACGTACTTTTCAATTCATTTTTTTACATAGACTTCCTAGCCATGTTAATACGACGTCAATAACTCAATTTTGTATGTTGCGCACCGAAGATATCTCTTTTACTAATAATATGTTTGTGGTAGGTGGAGTGGCGCGGACTCGGGGGCGTGTACGGCGTACGTGCACTACACGCAGAGGTGGTGTCTGGCGCACCGCCCTTCGCGCCGGGTGATCGCGTACGCGTTCGTGCCGCCGTCACGCAGCCTCGCTACAAGTGGGGCTGCATTGACCACACGTGCATCGGCACCGTCACAGGTACATTCGACTAAATATGGCTAAGGATCCCCTAAAATAATCGTCGAATCGTTTAAAATAATTACAATTGATATGATATCCATACTCTTAAATACTCAATTTTTCTGAATAGCTTTTTAGCTACATAATGATATACACATCTACAGGGGTTTCTGGTAACGGACGCGACTTGCGAGTTGACTTTCCGCAACAGCCAGGATGGACGGGTCAAGTCAGTGAGATGGAGCTTGTCACAGATCAATGTAAGAACGTAACAACTATTAAAAATGGATTATTCCTAGTTATTTTCAATAACAATTTGCTTCATTATCTTTGACAGCGGAGTGGGGTGAAAGTGCTAGCGGTGCGGCGGTAGGCTGGCGTGGTGCGATCCGAGCGCTACGCGTATCCTCCAGCCGAGAGGAGCACGGTGCAAGGCGCTTGGTAGATGGTGTGCCTCACACGTATTGGCAGAGTGACAGCGGGACTGGGGAGGTACAACCTACTCTTTACCTTACAATCCGTCCTTTGAAATGTAATTTCTACTTAATTGTGTAATTTGGTTGAAAATTTTGTATATTTAATCAAGTTATTTTGTTTTCATTGCTAAATTCAAATAAAAAATATTCTTTACAGCATTGGATCCGTGTGGAAATGCGTTCGGCGGTGCGTATCCGCCGACTGGGTGTGGGCGTGGCGGGCGGCAAGTACGCGGTGGCGTCGTTGTCGGTACGCGCGGGTGTCAACTTTGAGGACGCCATGCTGTTGCTGCACACGGTGCAGTGCGCCCCGCCCACACGCGACCGACCACCCGCCCACCTCTCACAGATACAATTACTGGCCGACTGCAAGCAGGTACGTCTTACGATAATTTCCAATGGTTACATATGACAAGAGTGAAATGGGTGTAATATGTTATTTATTTTTTCAGTTCTATCCCTGTATAGAGATCAGTATTAAGCAACCCCAAAACAATAATGCAGATTGTCGCGTACATGGATTATACATCACGGGCTTTCGACCGAATCCTCTCTACTCGGAAGTCTTGTCTGTAAGCAAAAACATATTGGAATATATTTACATTTAACAGTTTCGAAAACTAAACAATTTAATTTTTATTTTCATTCATTTTTAGAGCATGAGTTTCGTAGCTGAAGATTGGATAGAGAAAGATAATCGTACCCTTGCAGCTTCTACTGAATGTAATCCAGGATCGTCTCAAAGTGATTGCCCTAAGGTACTCTAGACTTTATTGTGATTCGATTTTAAACTCTACTGTGATAAATCTTACGATTCAATTTTGTTGACAGGTGTATGTTTGGGGTTTGAATGATAAAGACCAGTTGGGAGGTGTTAAAGGATCAAAAGTAAAAGTTCCCGTATTCTCGCCCGTCTTGAGTGCGTTAAAGCCGATCCATATTGCTGGTGGGTCGAAGACACTTTTCGTTGTGTCCCATGATGGCAAAGTAAGCGTCATCATTTTGAATGGTATTATTTGTTTTTATGAAGAAAAGGTCTTAATTGTAATTTTCCTTTAGTTGTACGCGTGCGGAGAGGGCACGAACGGCCGCCTGGGACTGGGTCACAGCAACAACGTATCGACGCCGCGCGCCAACCCGTACCTCGCACACGTACTTGTGCGCCGCGTTGCGGTACACTCCGGCGGCAAACACGCCCTCGCGCTCACCGCGGACGGAAAGGTCACTTAATATTTCCTAGTAGACTGATCGGCGTTACGAAAAATACCCGCCTAATGGAGATTTGAAACTATATTTAAATTGTAATAGGTTTATTCATGGGGTGAAGGCGAGGACGGAAAGCTCGGCCACGGCAATCGGCTCACGTTAGAAGCTCCGCGCATGATAGAAGCATTAGCCAGCGAGCGAGTGGTGGGCGTGGCGTGTGGCTCCGCCCACAGCGCATGTGTTACCGCCCGCGGACATCTATACACGTGGGGTTTGGGAGAGTATGGCCGGCTGGGACATGGTGATGATACCACACAGCTCTCGCCGAAAATGGTGAGGTTTGAATATTACTTTAACAGTAAATTAATAACTTTTATTTAATAATTGAATTAAGTTCCGTAAGTTTTAAACTAGCCAGCAGATAATTGACGATTTCGTTCAATCTATTAATCGTAGGTGGAGGCTTTAGCTGCGTACAGGGTGGTGCAAGTGGCCTGTGGGTCTCGTGATGCGCAGACACTAGCGTTGACGATGTGTGGGAAAGTGTTCTCGTGGGGTGATGGAGATTTTGGAAAGTTAGGTAAGTTTATAGTATCAATTTTTTGCTTACATTTAGCACTCTGCAACAAGAGTTACATAATTTTATGTGTAACTATTTTTATAATTGTTTAAGGTCGCGGTGGTTCAGAGGGGTGCGCTGTGCCCATGAATATTGAGAGACTGAATACGCTAGGAGTGATACAAGTGGAATGTGGTGCCCAGTTCAGCTTAGCTTTAACAAGAGACGGAGAGGTATGTATGACTTTTGAATTTATCACACTTTTCAATATCGTACCTTTTATTTAGTCGATGGTTGTTGCATGGTTTAATAGGTATGGACTTGGGGTAAAGGCGACTACTTCCGTCTGGGGCATGGGCTGGATGCTCATGTGCGTCGGCCTACGTTAGTGGAGGCGCTACGTGGCCGCCAGGTCATACACGTTGCGGTGGGCGCATTGCACTGCCTTGCCGTCACCAGCGATAATCAGGTATAGTAATAAATAACCAATTGATTAGATAAATGATTTGATAATAACTCTCCGAAATACTGTGACAGCTGCTAAAATAGACTGTAAAGGAAATATGTCTGAAATTATAATAAAAATGTATTTTATATATATATTTCTTAGGTGTGGGCGTGGGGTGACAACGACCATGGGCAGCAGGGCAACGGCACGACATGTGTGAACCGTCGGCCGGCCCCCGCTGCGGGCGTGGAGGGCGTACAGCGCGCCGCCGCTGGCTCCTCCCACTCGGCCGCATGGGCGCTGCGATCCCACACTAACCCCCCACCTCTCACGCAGCTGCCTGTACCGCTGCCGTTCCCAACCCTCAAGGACCCACTAGGAGCTAACAGTTTAGGTACATTGAATAATATAACTGCTTAATTCTTATTTTTTTTTACATAAACGGTAAATTATTATTAACTTTGCACTTTTTGTTTTAGGCTTGTACGCCGAAGAGACGGGCATAGAAGAGCCTCAAGGGCCCCGGCCGTCTTTAGCGTCGGCGTCATTACCTCTAGAACCACCCGTCACCGTCCAACATGCGTTATCTTTGATATTACTTGCATTGTATATCACTCAGGTAATAAGAAAAGTTCACGCTTACGTGAAACCGGGTTAGTCTTTGGTCAATATTAAAATAACTTCTGTTGTAACTTCAAGGCGCGCAGTCTACTGGTGGAGGCATTACGGTCGCACGAGGCGTGTTCCTCTACGCCGGTGTCTATCAGCTTGGATGTGGAGGAAGAGGATCCGGAGGCAGACGCTCGCACAGGCGGCGGGGAGGCGCCCGCTGACAAGACTACGCTACCAGTAAGTACATATATTAAGTAGATTCAGAGAGGTCATGATTGGTGGAAATGGGGTAATGTGATGCTACTGTCGCATTTATATTTTTCTTTTGTCTTTTAGAGTGGTACAAGCAGTCCTCTAAGTGGATCTATATCTTCACGGCATTCGACTTTAATGTCCTCAAGCGCTGTATCTGTGGCCGCTGCGACGATGACCGTGCAGCAAGCGGAGGCGCCTAAAGTAAGTCTAATTATTATAGTATTTCGTTTTTATTGTTATAAATAAGACAATATAAAGAATTTGTACGTTTTGTTATCCTCTTAATTGTTTTCTTTTAGTTGTTGCTGGATGATTTTACTACAAACTTAGGCGAGACCGACGCTCGGGCGCTAGTGGACCTGTTAAAACTCGCTGCGGCGGGCCGCGTGCCTGATGCTAACAATGCCGTCAAAATTATTACCGATGTTTTAATGGGTATTTTTATTAATAACTTTTTAAATATTTTCTAATATCTTACGAGTTTCGATTTTCAGTATAAAAATTGTCTTTACGTTCAACAGTTACAGAGATATTGTTACTTAAAATGACATACAATTTTTTGTCGTTATACAGCACTATGTGCGAGCAAGCCTGAAGTAGCAGATATGGTAGTGGAGGTGTGTGTATGCGAGCTCGAAGAGGCTGCAGCAGGCGGCGGGCGCTCCTCCCTGCAGCCCACTACTGTCGACAGCCCACATCCTTACGCTGACGATACCGATATCTCAGGTATAATACACGGAAAAATGCAATTTGTTTAATTGGATAGGATAAGTTATTTAATATGATTATCATGTAGGAGTGGTTAAGATTCCGGGGGCGACGTCTTTACGCGTAATGTTCGAGCCGGGTTGCTCGACGGAACGCCGCAATGATCCACTGACGATATCCGATGTGACGGGTCGTGTACTCGCCACGCGCTCCGGACGCGAGCCCGCCGATTGGGCGCAGGAAATACTAGTCAACGGTTAGTTACCTGTATATTAAGACTATTGTTTTTCATATTCATGTGGGTGTGGTTTTATGTACATGCACTAGCGTGCTTGTGTGCGTATACGCGTGTTAATGTGTAAGATTTTTTTACAGGTGATGAATTACGATGGAGATTCACGAGTGACGGATCAGTGAACGGATGGGGATGGAGGTTCACGGTTCATCCAATACATGCAGTGACCGTAAGAAATATTTTCTTTTTGAATATAAGTGCTAAAAACAACTACTTAATAAAAACGATGTACATTACATTTTTTTAGGAGATTGGATCGGATCGCTGCGTCCTATCATGTCCATCTGTAGAGTTAGCGTGGCGCTTGCTCGACGGTCCTTTGCTCAAGGCCATCTCCAATGACCACGAGCTCGCGCCGAGACTCGCACAGGCACTCGCTATATGTGCACAGATGCCGACACTGAGTAAGTATACAATTTTTTAGAAGTATACAGCATTCAATGTCATTAATATAATAAGATTAAGACTATCCAGTTCTACGTCATTTTCATTTTAAAATCTGAATAACAATATTGCATTAGCGTGGCGTGCTCGTGTATGGTGCGTGCGTCGACTACGCGGTGTGGTGTGTGGGATGGGAGGTGCGCGCGAGTCGGGCGTGGGGGGCGTGTCGCCGCCCGCGCTGCAGCGCTTGCCGCAGCTGCTGCAGGCGCAGTACGAACACGAGGAGCCTGCGCTGCGCACCGGCACGCATCTACTGCACACGCATTACCTCAAAGTAAAAATTTGCATATTAATACTAATATTATAAAGAGGAAACATATGATTATTTGTTTGTATTGAATAGGCTCCGAAAATACTGAATACCGATTTGACATTTTTTTTCACCGTTGGGAATTTACACCATCCTCGACTGACAAGCAATATTTGTTACTAGATTTTTTTTATAATCTATGCGGACGAAGTCGCCGGAAACTGCTAGTGTTATATAAATAGTTATTATCTAACATAAAATTATTTGTTGTCAGGAGCTAGCATGGCTCGCGTGCGGACTACGGATAGATTCACGGGTATGCACAGGCGCAGAGAGCGCTCGGTGGGCGTGGTTTAAACGGTACTGCCTGTGCATGCGCACGGCGGACGCTCTGTTACGACGCGCCCCGATGCCCGCACCCTTCCTTGCAGACGTGCGCAAGCGGCTGGCAGACCTCGGCGTTTATAATAACGAAGACGCCGGCGACGCACAACAACCCTGGGAGGATAATACAAAGTTTACAAAACAACATGATGAACAGCTGTTACATTGGGTTAATAAGTAAGTGTTTGTAATACATATTTCCTAGGAAGATTGGATTGGAAAGAGCGTATTTTAAACGAAAATATGACTCCACAATTAATAAAAATGTTAAGCTTAAGTTGTCCATTACAACATTTCGTGTACTAGGCGACCAGACGAATGGTCTGGTTGGTGGTCTGGAGGTTCGCGCGGGTGCGTGGTATACGGCTGGGGACATAACCACCGAGGTCAGCTGGGCGGTGTAGAGGGCGCCAAAGTGCGCTCGCCCGCCGCCTGCGCCGCGCTCGCCGCACTCAACCCCGTACAACTTGTGGGCGGCGAACAGACCTTGTTTGCAGTCACGCCTGATGGAAAAGTCTATGCCACTGGTATGTTTATGGTTTTAAGGTCACTCAACTAAAGATTAAATTATTAAAGTTTTTTATATGTTATTTTATGATGATAATTTTTCAGGATACGGTGCAGGAGGTCGTTTAGGAATAGGTGGTATTGATTCTGTCTCGCAGCCTACACTTTTAGCGTCTATTCAACATGTTTTTATTACTAAGGTACGTAAATATACATCAACATCATATTACCGTAATACGAGTATTCTTAATATATTAACGTAAACACAGGTGGCGTGCAACTCTGGGGGCAAGCACTGTTTAGCTCTATCAGTAGACGGCGACGTGTACAGCTGGGGCGAGGGCGAAGACGGCAAGCTGGGACACGGCAATAGAGTGTGAGATATTATATTTTTTTAAATCAATTACAGTAATGTTCTATCATAATATATTTCGAAAATTTAAATTTCCACAAAAGATCGTGGTCATCTGTTACCAGCTATTGTATTAAAAATATGTATGTGAAAACTGTCCATAGGAGCTACGATCGACCGAAGCTGATAACAACTTTATCCGGCTTGGAAGTGGTTGCGATCGCGTGCGGCGGCGCGCACTCAGCTTGCCTCACCGCGCGCGGCCGCATCTACACCTGGGGCAAGGGACGATACGGACGCCTAGGACACGGCGACTCTGAAGACCAGCTCGTACCCAAGATGGTAATACGAAACATCTGGCTGTAATACTACTAAAGCGCTACGAAAGCAACTGAATCTTGTGTAAAGATTTAAATTGTCATGTATGTTTATGTCTTTTTTATATCGAGAAGTTTCTTTTAAATGTTCATTGAAATTATTCAGGTGGAGGTTTTGTCACAATACCGTGTGATAGACGTGGCGTGCGGTTCAGGGGACGCGCAGACTCTCTGCATCACTAGTGACGACAACGTCTGGTCCTGGGGCGACGGCGATTACGGCAAACTGGGTAACCACACATTATAACATACTAGTTATGACCCCCGAGTCCATCCATGCGGAAACACCCATCCATCCATCCAAACATTCGCTTTTTATAATTGGTAAGATTAATGTCAATCCAATTGTAATGAGGATTGCTTCTTTTATAGTCATGTATTACTACTACTACTATTGAATACTTATTTTTAAGGTCGTGGCGGTTCTGAAGGCTGCAAATTACCGATGAGAATAGACTGCCTAAAAGGTCTGCGTGTTATCAAAGTGGAATGTGGCTCGCAGTTCTCTGTTGCTCTATGTCAGTGCGGAAGTGTTTACACTTGGTATGTTCACTTAAAAAAAATCACCATTGTTTATTAAGAAACGTATTTGGTTTTTTTTTCGGGCAATTACCTAAATTATTTATTTGATAGGGGCAAAGGTGACTACCACAGATTGGGGCACGGCAGCTACGACCATGTGCGCCGTCCGATGCGCGTCACAGGCATGCAAGGCAAAGTTATCACTTCGATTGCGACTGGTAATTTTTTTTAATACATTTCGAGCTTGTTTTACAATAATAAAACGTAGAAAGAAGTATCTCTTGGAAATTATCTCATTACCGCAATTTACGCTTTCATGTTATGATTTAGAGTAAACTAAAATATATTTTCAAATGTACTTCAGTATCTGTTTCTTAACCTTCTTACTTATAATAATTGTTGTGTCCTTGTTTAATGTAGGAAGTCTGCATTGCGTGGCATGTACTGACACGGGTGAGGTATACACGTGGGGCGACAACGACGAGGGTCAGCTCGGTGACGGCACCACGCTCGCCGCTCAGCGTCCACGGCTGTTGATGGCCTTACAGGTGTGTATTATAGCCAATAACCAGTAGCTCGTGGATTCAGTCTAAGAAAATTGGCGGCTGGTATAAACCATTATCCAGATTATCTGAATTCGTGGGCTTAAGTCAAACTAAATTATGACAACTCACTAGGCCGCCCCTGTCAACATCAAAAAATGTCACAAGATCCTCTTTATAGTGTAGTTATCCTGTTATTTTTTTGCCTTTTTCTATGTCTAAGTAGGTTTTATATATTGACTGAACCAAGCGCGATAGCAGCGCCTCTCATCGGTTCAGATATCTTTGAATATACCCATAATGAATTTTGACGTCTCTGTCTAAGCTCCTGTTAAGATTATTTTTAGTAATAAGAATTTTAATTACCAGGGTAAACGCGTGACGAAAGTAGCTTGCGGCAGTGCTCACACAGTGGCGCTGTGCGTAGAGGCGCCGCGCGCGCCCCGCCCACCGCCCGACCCGCCCCTCGAATGCCATTTGCTGCGCGACCTTTCGCCGCAACTAATTTGCAACAGATTGGTAAATTATATTCATCTTAATTTATAATATTCTATAAAAAAATAAGTTGGCATAAAAAATCATGTGGAATCTTCAATATTTTTTTTATTTTTCCAGGTGCTACTTCATCAGTTTTCGGAATTAGTGTGTCCGAATCTCTCGTTATTGGTTTTGGACGGACCATTGGATCAATTGAGAACATTGTTGTTCTATAGTGTCAAAGAGGCAGCATTTAGAAAGGTACGTGACTTTAATTGATTAAAGATCAGATAGTCAGTTTTGTGTTTGCCTTGACCTTGACTGTGTTATGTGTAATGTTAGGCGATAATGGCGACGATGGTGCGCGAGCGTCAACACGGCCCAGTGGTGGAGCTGTCTCGTGTGGGCGCGCGGAGAGCGCGGCGCGGCGGCAGCGGGTTGGCGGGGCCTAGTGGCATGCGCTCCGTCTTTGGCCAGATGGTGGCGCGTCTGCCTGCACTCACACAGGATGCTCTCGCTTTGCCACATCGTGTGTGGAAAGTCAAGTTTGTTGGTCAGTAAACGTACCAGTGTATTTAATTTAAAAAGATGTCCAATCAACTTAAAATTGAACGTTAATAATGTTGAATAGCTTGAGACAAATTGCAATAAAAGAACTCTTATTTTACAGAAAAGTATGTATGGATGTGAAGCTTATTCTACATCCATATAAAACATTGTATAAAGGTTTTGTGATGTGTAGGTGAGAGTGTGGACGACTGCGGCGGCGGGTACAGCGAGAGCATAGCGGAGATGTGCGAGGAGCTGCAGAATGGCTCTCTGCCGCTGCTCATGGCCACGCCCAACGGCCGCGGCGACGCGGGTGCCTCTCGCGACGCCTTCCTGCTCAATCCCACTGCCAACACGCCGTTACATCTCAACTGCTTCCGATTCCTAGGTAAGTTTTTTTCTTTATTTTTTAAAGGTCAAAGCAGGATAACAAATAGTTTACCAACGTCCATACAAACTAAACGCCATGTAGCTGCAGATGTATGATGTATTGTTATATTTGTGACTAGGTGTATTGATGGGCATCGCGATCCGCACGGGGTCGCCACTGGCGCTGTCGCTTGCGGAGGGCGTGTGGAGACAGTTAGCGGGGCAGCCGCTGCGCCCTCAGGACCTTGCCGAGGTCGACAAAGACTTCCTGCCTGCCCTCCTCTGTATACGAGACATGACGCCCGCCAACAAGGTAAGAATCAAAATCAATATGTAAAATAAAAGCAATTTGTTCATAAAATGTTAGTTATGATAAAAATATAAATATAATAGGAACTGCAAAACCTGGAGCTGCCATTCTCAATTCCATCCGCCGCGGGTCACGAGGTACCGTTGTCGACGCGGCACAAACGTGTCACGCCCGATAACAAGGACGAGTATGTGCAGCTCGCGTTACATTACAGGTAATTTTATTTTAATAAAGAGCAAAGATAAGTGTACCGCTGCTACTTATATCTCAACGAAGCACATTTATCGACGGCCTTGAACCTATTAGACTATATGTTTGTTTGGCCTTTGTTTTGCGAATTTCTCGACTAAAGCTATTTTTTTATTCATTATTTTTTTTAACGTAGGGCGAGTCTGCGGCACTGATGATGTTAATATCTTTTATGTACATGCAGACTGCACGAGTTCGACGAGCAGGTGGTGGCGGTGCGGGACGGCATGTCGCGCGTCATCCCCTCCCCGCTGCTGGCGCTCTTCACTGCTGCAGAGCTTGAGACCCTCGTCTGCGGCTCTCCAGACATACCTGTGCAGGCTCTGAGAGCTTCCGCTACCTATAAAGGTACCGTCAAATGAAACTGATAATCATCATGAGCCCACTATACATCCCCACTGAGGGACTCGGAGCCTACCCTAAGGACGCATATCTTTGAATTGTTTTGCAGATAAATGGAGGTTGCATCACGATGTTTTCTTTCACAGTAAGAACGTCCGATAAATGTACATATGAAAATCAAAAAACACATTTGTACGGCGGGATTTTAACCCAGGAATTGCAAATTACAAGACAAGTAACATCTGAGCCTCTGACGTTCTTATCTAATTGGACGCCCCAAGCTTATGATGTTTTTAAATCGAATCCATTGTATTCTTGGTACAAATATTAGTAATACAACTTATGTAATGTAGGTATAGACCCAAACGCGCCGCTGGTGCAGTGGTTCTGGGAGGTGATGGAAGAGTTGTCAGGCAGCGAGCGCGCGCTCTTCCTGCGCTTCGTGTGGGGCCGCACGCGATTGCCGCGCGCCCCGCAGGATCCCAGGCAGAGGGACTTTGTTCTACAAGTGAGTGAACGTTGTTCATTTAACCTCCTTGCTCTCACTCGACTCTAGTTAAATCTCTTTTGTTTTTAATTTTTTTTTAACCTTTGACTAAACTTGATTTATTTCATTAGGTATTGGACAAGTACCAGCCGCCTGACCACTTCCTGCCCGAGAGCTACACATGTTTCTTCCTTCTCAAGATGCCAAGATACTCATGCAAAGCTGTTTTACGAGAGAAATTAAGGTATCAATTTTTTATGACCAAGTCAACATATCTTGCGTTTTTAAAGATAGTTGTTTAATGCCAAAGATTTTGACCTAACTTTGACGGGAAGATAGCTGATGCATTGATGGTAATATTATATGCTACTTTTTTTATTTTTATACTGCGCGGATGAAATGGCAGGCGACCGTTATTCTATACTTATATTATATAGAGGCAAGACTTGATTGTTTGTTTGCATTGAATAGACTCCGAAACTGCAAAAACAATTTGAAAAATTCCTTCACAATTGGAAAGACACTATCACTACACTATCTTTGGACGACCTAGGCTATATTTATTACTAACTTATTTTTAATTGAAGTCTATATTTTTGATCAAGACGCGAGTATTTAATGAATTTATGTAACATCTAGATACGCCATCCACTTCTGTAAGAGCATCGACACGGACGAATACGCGCGGGTGGCGCTGAGCGCGGCGGAGCGCATCTCCTCCGAGGAGTCTGACTCGGACGGCGACGCCACGCCCACACCCGCCTCGGTGCCCGCCCCCGCGCCCGCACTCTACTCCCTCACGCGCCCGCCCACATGGCTCTAGTTCCGTATATCACACAAATTTACTTATAAGATTTTAAACCTTTTCTTTATGGCTCACCAGCCGGATTATGGGAACCACAATTTTTAATAATTATATATAAGATCATTAGAGTTACATCAAATATGTCTTGATGATGATAATATTTTTAGATTGGTATAACACAACAAATTTTTGTGCATAAGTTGGCAATAGTGGCACAAGAAATAGATATGTTCTTAGCTCTTCCTCTTCTTAATTACAATATTGCGAAAGCTGTTAAAATACACAGATCTCGCTGATCATCCATATCAATCTCAACAAATGTGCAATAAGGAATTTAATCAAAGAAAATATTTGTAGAGAATTACATAGTATCCTATTAAAATTTCACTAGTATTGATAATAGACATTGATGAGATTTTATCATACATTTAGACGCTAATTTTATGCAAAAAAATATCACCAAGTTTTCAAAATATTCTCAGTAAAATCGTATTTATAATGAAAATCTTATCTGAACCACCGATAGAGTATTACAAAATTCACATTAACTCATAGTTGTTGTCAAAATAATGTTTTACCAGCCCTCACAATATTTATTAATTAACCTAGATTCATAAAACAACCTAATAATATTGAATATTAGTCAGTATGAAACAAGTATACTTTTAAATATTAAAAAAATATTAATATTACAATAAACAAAGCAATACCACCCTATATACAACATTCATTTGCATGTAATAAAATACTCCTTATTTGGATATTGTATTTTTAAAATAAAAAGTTTGAATGGATATTTTAAAATGAGAAGTAATGACCGAGATTTGGAATATGCTAAAAATATTCAAAATATTATATTTATTCGAGGCCTTTTATATTTTAATAAATAATTTGGAGATATTTCTCATGTGGCGTAATGTGTTTGATGTAAGATTGTAAAAATACAATCGAAGTCCAATAGTGCTTTGAGGTTTTAGAATTTTTATTATAATACTTGTAGCTTTGTTTATTCTATTTATGACAAATGCTTACGCTTTTCTAAATATTTTAACTTAGACGTACGAAATGTGCAACGAGGCGACACAATGTCATTCCATTGGTGTTCTAATGTATGTGATTTATTAACGATAAAGTGAATATGATGAATATAGCCGTGTGTTTCCACTGCTTGAAAATACAAACAAAAAACATTATGTAATTTTCTCAGAACGGGTGGACGAAGTGTGATGTTGCGTGGCAAAAGCCAGGGAGAAATCCCAAATTTTTTGACATCAAACTCTTCAAATATACCGAGAAATTAGTAATAAAAATAATTTCGGAACACTGTTATAATTTTTATTAAATTGATTTTGAAATGTAAAATTATATAATATGTGAAATCACACTAGACAAGGGAAGTCTCACGAATGTGACCGGTCAAATGAACTTCATGTGTCAAAAATTGTTTTTGTTTGAATTTTTCCGCAGTGAGAAACCATGTTTGGATTGAAAATTAACCATATATTGAGCCAAAATAGATTGAGCTTCACACAACTGTGATGTTGAAATTAAGTGATGTGTGAAGAGTGTCTTATGGAAATTGTTTGGTGAACAATTTTTGAATGCTAGTCATAGTATTGTCGGAGGAATGTAATCATGTATTTTATTGATATGTGATATTGGATAATGCTTATATTTTATTTACAGTATTATTTTTATGAAACTCTTCATCACGTATTACAAATTAATTCGAATTTTCCTGCACTTATTAGTTAAAATGTAGTGAACTTGTAAATTTTCCAGTGGTATTTAGTACATTAATTTCACACATTCTTTAGATACGGTGCTAGTGCTTTGCTGTTAGAAATAATTTTTATACTGAACAAATTTAGCCTGCACAAAGTAGTAGATGCTCATTCAGTATGTAATTTAAACCATATTGATATTAAACTTTTAACATGATTAACTCACTTTGCTTTACCCTATATTTTGATGTTTCTAAATAGGTATTAATCCAAAAATACTATTCTTTTAACACCAAAGAAATCCATATTTTCTTAAGACTGTTCTTTCTCGATTATAAGGTATATAATTTGATGTTTGTGGTCTGTCCAATGCTATTTATTTATTTTCTGCATATGTATACCAAATAAATAATTTATAAAAACTTGTTCTTTTTTCAACTTAAGAGAAATACCATAAATCCTTTTCCTTCAATAAACAAATGTATAAAATATTTTGGCCAATGAAATTTATTGTCATATTAAAACTATGTGATTTTTTTAAACAAAATTGATGAACTTTGGTGATTCCTTTTAAATGTTGTTGTTTTGACAAGTGTTATAGAATTAAAATAAATTCAACATATTGTTTTAAAATAATAAAATCCTTTCTGTTTCACATGATTTAATGTACACTAAATTACAGCTTGTTGAACTTAAGAAAATTCATAAGTTTAAACATAATTTGCACTTAAATAAAATTTAGCAGTTCATTGATTACTTCTTGGATTTCGGTTTTAAGGTGAAGTATAATATAAGAGCACCGAAAACTGCATATGTTGCTTTAGCAGTCTGTAAAAGAACAAAAAAATATTTATCTTGAATTGTATTGGTTCAGCAAGGTATATCAGTAACAATGAATTTTACATATTAAAATCAAGGGTGAAAAAAAGTCTACACAGGACTAATATATAGAAAGATCATCCAATGCTATGAATATGGAAAATTGTCTTTAGAAAAAAGCACTAAACAAGAGGATGGATTTCAAATTGAAAACGTCTAGAGTTTAATAAAAAATTAAATACATTCATCTCAATGTGGTAAAAATTAACAATTTTCTATGACGAGTTGACAACCAAAACTACTGTAGGCAAAAAATTAAGCACATAAATGTTTATCGCATTAAAAAGATCAAATTGTGCCTATCGAAAATCAATTCAATACTTACATTAGCTCTCCCCCTGTTAGTCTGGCTGTTAAAATACTTGGATAATCCCTTTAATTGGGAATCATCGACAGAATCTCCGGCCATTCTATATAACAGAAAAAATTTTATTCAGCTTTAATTCGCAATTAGATATCAGATTAATTAACGTGAGCAAATAATCTACGCTTTATAAATTAAAGTAATATGAAAATTACCTGATAGTAAATTTTGAGCCTTATGTAATTACAACCTCAATCAATTGTTGAAGAGGGAAAGATATAACTTGTCATTTGACAGATGAAAAACGTTTCGTTTCACAAGTTTTTTTTAAGATATCGATACAACATGATACTTTCAAAAAAATTATATTGTCAAAATTAAGTAGGTACAGAATCAAATCAAACCAATAAAAATTAAATACACATTTTTGAAACTTTTACGATTATTTCTTCTTTCCTTTTTTAGGTCTCGACAATTTGTAATAGACGTAGTACATCGCCACAAGCGACATAGTTACTTTGGAAACCTATAAAATAAATATTTAATACTTATAGAATCACACACTAAAGTAGATTTATGTGTGGTAGGAATTTATTATTGCTTAATATTTTATATACTCTTTGTTAATATTATTGAAACAAAATTCTATTATTGCTACTCATCGTCTACAATTGAGCCAGAAGTTGCGATACATCGTCGAGACTAAATGATATAATTATATAAATACACTGATTTATTTATATGTTATGTATGACTAAGGTATAAAAAACTTTGAATTAGTCTTTCATATTATGGACATTTTATAAATTATTTTTACCTGACCAGGATACTAACATTTGCTCGTCCCCTATCGGTTTGACTGTTGAAATATCGGCTCAATCCTTTTAACGATGGGTCATCTCCGTGACCAGACATAGCGTTATATAAATAAATGTATATTATAAACACCCAGTCTTGAATTCCAATGTCCTAATTTTGTCAATCATTTAAAGTAAATGTTCAATATTCGCTTTGCGCTCTGATAATTTTTGTATTGTCATTTGTCATAAGCAATATTGTTATCTGTAAAACCATTAAAACTTTTTGAATTTCGAAAAGGTTCTTTTAAGGAATAGTTTATTTTAAAGGAATAGGATGGAAACTACTGAGAGTAGAGTTGGGATCCGGGGGGCCTGGAGTAACATTTTCCACGACACGCACGTCGAAAAAAAATAACGGGCACCGATACTCTGATGATGAAAACAACTGAACACTAGTCAGTAGCCATGAAAGGACATTCAGTAAATAACACAACAAAACCTCAGCATTATATGCTTTTATTATTAGTTATCACTTTGAAAAATACATATGTTTTACCTTTTAATTAAAATTAACAAATAAACAATTCTTCGATTGCAAAACATATAGCCAATAATTTTTTTTATTTTAATCCAGTAATGCAAATAAAGCTTAATTGAGAAAAATCAGTAAAAAATATTTCACATAGTTCATTGTTTCACTTTTTAATTATCATTCTTTGTTTTTGTCAGTAAAAGTTTGTAGGTCATTTCGTAAAAAAAATACAATATAGTTTTTCATGTTTTCTAGAAAATATAATCAGCAGCGACTAAATACAAAAATTGTCTAAAAATAATTATTTATGTTATGTACGATTCGACTAGTTTTTAATACAACAAAAACATCTTAACATAATTGTCATGATACCAAAAAATTAGTATCCTTAAGTACCATTTGAGGAATACAAGAATAGTATTTGAGCGGACAGTGTTAATCTCTCATATAACCTTAATGCCTTATTATAATGAGTTTTATAATACTCTTAATAAAACTAACATTCCACACACATTGATAGATCACAGCTGAGATAGGACCAGGTTACTCTTAAAGTGAGTTTCCACTGCATAAAACCTGTATAAAAATATAATGCTTTCTCTGTCATTCCAAGGAGTGTGGGAGGATAACAATATGTATTGATACATGTGTTGGACAATGCATAGTCACAGTTATTAAGTACAATATATCTCCAGTCCTTCACAATCACTGCACAAACTGTCCATAATCAGTTATATCAAGAGATCTTCTTCCCAATCTTCTTTTTCTCGTTCCGATATTGACACTGAAGGTCGAGTAAGCTGCTTTAATTCTGCTTGCACTCTTGGAGGTACTGGGTTATCACTGAGGTCTACATACTCGAGAGCTCTTGATCTAGCTAATCTGTCCACATCCACTTCTGTAAAGAAAATCATAAATTCAATTAGGCTAAATTTGCCAAACAGAGAAAAAGTGAGGCAGCTGTATGTGAAACAGCTGTTGCATAGATTAAAATACAGATAAAGTTACTAAAATAACTTTAAGATACCTTATTAGTTTTTTTTATTTAATGGTAACGCAAGAGGAACTGCAGATACATTTTTAAGTATTACATATTTATCCAATTAAAAATAAACAAAATGACAAAGGGTATTGTCTGCTTGAAATAGATAATGTATGAAAAATATCATTTTTAAAAAGGTTTTGGATACTTATTTGATGATCTAATCTCTGAAATCCTTAAGGTAATGAATTACCTTACATATGGTATAATAACAATGAATCAAGTACCAATGATTTGATTGTGGTGTGCCAGCAGTGTGTGCAGGCTGGGGCACTGGCAGGCGATTTGTGGCAGAGACACAAAGCTGTTGTGTGAGATGTCCAACCGCTCTAGACATGCCAGTGTACAGAGCTCATCCGGTAGCCTTGCCATTTGGTTGTTTGAGAGATTTAAATCTGTAAATAGAATTGTATTTTTATTTGTTTAAGATAAAATTAACATAATTGTCATTTATGATGTTTAGGAATTTAGTCACCAATCAATTGTTCTTTTGTCTCAGACTAGAAGTCTTGTATGTGAGGAAGATTCTTAACTTTTAGTACTTCCTCTGTTTATCAATATTATCCTTGTAATATGTATAATAGCAAAAGATACAATATTATGTAAGTTAGTCATGGAAACTAGTGAGTTTAGAATATATTATGGTGACAGCAATACTAACCTGTGATTAAACTAAATTTAACAGTAAACTTAGGTGGTATCTTAGTGATGACATTTCCACTGAGGTCACAACTCTTCAGTTCCGTGTGCCGCATCAAATGGTATACTGCATCTGGTACTTGCATCAGCTGGCATTCTGATAAATCTGTAAAATTGAAAAATACACAATGTTAAAACCTATAAAATAACTAATGACATTGTAGTTTTTGGCACTGGTTTCATGATGACTGTTGAATTGCAACAGGATGTTTTAGAAAAGTATATTTTCGGAATTTTATTGCAACATTCTGACATACCTCTGTTTTCATTGAACTATGGATCTATTACTATTAAAGTATGGAAAATGCTTTCTTCAATTATTCGTATTTTTTATTTTAGATTAAACGAGTAAACTATTATATCAATTTACATGAATCGGTTTTTATTCAATAAGGCATTTCATTGAAAAATAAAAGGGCATAGAATCTAAAATAGACTATGACATAAGTTGAATGAAACCTAGATTATATTAGAATTTTATGTTTTATCTCAACCTAGATTTAGAAGTGCAATGTGTAAGAGAAATTCAGGTCATGTTCTTCTGAAATAGATCATGAAATTATGAACTAACATACCCAGTGCCTCCGTCTCTTGTGCAGTTTCGCATCGTAAAATTACACGTGTAACAGCTTGTGCCATTATACCACAACCACTCCACAAGAACTACGGCTCAAAGTTTCTACTCTACTTACTACCGTTCTATTTTTACCCCGCCCCAGTCCGTTTTAAAGATGCTATTTATAAAAATAATTTATGCTTTTTATGCTGATAATATACTATGGAAATCTAAGCTATCAACTTATTTTGTTGGTACGTAGTAGTATATGACTCATGTAGTTGCTATTAATTATGATATTGGCAAAAAAACCATTACATATTTTTATTTTATTTGTTTTTGTACTAGTGACACATGTCAAAAAATTTGACAATGACATACAGTGGGACAAGGTGTTACCATTTTACAATATTTCAGTTCTGAAATTCAAAGTTCAAAATGTGAAGCGACAAATGTATATCTGTCTTCAAATATTTGCAAACTTTGTTACTTGACCAAGATATGTTTAAGCTGTCGTCATCAAATTGTGAACTGAACTTAACAAGTTATAGCGAACGGATCTTTGAAACGAAGGAAAACATCGTGAAGAAACCTGTCTATATTTGCGAGAACTTCCGAAATTGATGTGAAGTCCACCAACCCGCAAAGGTTCAGCGTGGTTGACTCTGGCCTAGATACCATACCAACGTCATGTTACTTTTTTCTTTGTTTATATAAAATAACATTAAGTACATTTTTCACTTTGATCGATATTTGCAAGTTTGTAAGGAAGTACTTTTATGCGGACAACGGCCTCTACAGTGCTGTTTGCCCATTTATGGCATAAAATCGTAAGGTTAACGCGTTTACATCAGAAGAGTGTTCATTAACTACACTAAGAGGTTTGCGTTTCATTACAAATTGTTTATATATTCTTTTGAAAGTCGCAAACAACACACAAAAAATGTAATATCGATGCAGGGCATAATACAATGCATACAGCACTCGTGCTTCATTACATGTACTTGGAAATACGTCACCTCTCGTGATAAGTGGTATGAAATGTCTTCCGGGGGTTGATTGTAACGTAATATATGGATTACAATGAGGAAACAACTTTGCGACCATAAAGGCTTTTGAAAAAAGTGTATGTTGGTCACGTACGTTTGAAACTCAATATCATTTGATTAAAGTTACCGCAGTTTATTCTCTATATATTCATCATGAAGAATGTAATTTCTTTCTTATCTTTCAGTTCTTTGTATTGTCCTGTTTTTCAGGACAGGCATAATGCAGTAAATATTTCTATTAAACTATTCATAACAAAATAGAGTGTAATGGAATAACTGTTACATCTCAAGTGGAAAATAATTAGCTAAGAATAATTCGAATTTCGTACGAATTTTTTGAATACATCGATGTCAAGGATGATCGTATTCACTTTTAAATTCAGACACGCTTCATGTATGTATGTAATTGGGCGCGTGGCTCATTCCTTGCGCACAGTCATATAAACTCGTAGCTGCGCAAAATCATTTCTCTTCCGCAAATTACGAACTAATATTAGAAATTACGACTTACTCCGCCAGCGACCAAGTGTTACAAGAAACATTTACGGCTATGAATTTACAGTTAACATCAACTTCCAAAATATAGAAATAATATGTTAACAGTAACAGAGTACATAAAAGGGATTTATCCTGAATCTTGTCGAGCGCGCCCTCGGATACCTAGACTCGAAGTGTAACCTACGTTTTCTAAGTAAAGTTGATAGGGCCGGCCGAAAGAATCACACACAAATATGCTTTTCTTCCAAGTTACGTAAATACGTTTTTCATTGCCAATTAATTCAATTATTTCTTTTAAGTGGATTACGTACAAAAGTGCGAAATGACCTCGCTTAGTTTCACAATTTTGATGCTAAGTCTTCGCGTTTGCGAAAGCAAAATGCAACAGAGAACGTTCATTATTTTAAAAATTGTGCAAGTGGTAACATATTTCGCCTAATTAAAATAATAGTACTTAATTCTATATTTGTAATGTTTAGACATTAAGTACAAATCTAATCTGATTACATTTATTTTACTTATTATAACTACGTCTAAGTTAGGGTATAGTTACGTTTCAGGTTCTAAGTTCGACTATCAACTCCCTTTGATTATAAATGAAAACGTGTTCTACAATATTTTTTTGGAAAAATTGTAAAATGTGTATCGCAATGTATGAAAGCGAAATCTATGTCGTATAACCGTTACGCATTCGAGCGTGGGCGTGATTGCCTAGATTAATAGATTACGTTATACATATACAAATTATTATACAATTCAATCATCACTTAATTAACAGATTCAATTATTATTTTAACAATAATGTTCAAATACTTAGACATTAATCATCACTAATTTACGTCACTGTACCTTAACCTAAAAATCAAGCTCCTTTTAAAAAGCTTTCTAATTTTCACATACTTCGATCTCCAATCCTTTATCATTAGTCATATGAGTTGAATATTCAGAGCAGACAACAGTTAACGGAACAAATAAATTATTATATATCTTTAAAAAGAATTGTGTTCTTGTCTTGGACAACGAGATCGGTAACGCAGTGTGACTGAATGTATCCAGCCACCGGATTCACTCATTGTATTCAGGCTTTAAAGCGGAACGAGATTGCAACAGATTATATATATATATATGTGTTCAGTATGATTCACATGCAACAGGCATATCCAGTAATATAAAATGTGTCAGTCGTAAAAATCGACGAAATAAAAAAACCCGCTAAAGTTTATTATGTCAAGAGAGATAACGGATATCTTTAGAAATGAATTATGCATAAAATATAAATCGATTACGTAGATATTTGATAATAAGTTAAATGTAAAGTTTAACACAGTTTCTCTAGCTCGTTTAAAACTCGGTATTAGGTAATAAATTGACAATATTCCACATGTGGAAATGTATTATCTCATAACCATGTCATTATATTCATGTATGCGAAATAATTTGCTTAAATTAGATGCGTCATGGTCTTGTGGTACATTTAAAATTGTATCTTTTAACAATTTGTAAAGTTTGGAGACCAGATTTTGTAAATACAGGTTTCATTCAGTAAGTGGTTTACTGTGCGTCATATGTTTTCTTTTTTTTTTCTTATTTAGAACAATAAACTGTCTTCCTATATGACCAATAATAATATGTTGAGGGGGACAAAGTTGAAAAAAAATGTTTACAAACAGAATAGTTACGGTAATTTTTATGTACAGTAATATAGTGATCTTTGTAAGTGCCGAATGCTAACGTGACTCACTATTCTGGTAACCGGTAATTTCGGGAGTTGACAACATTTGGAGTTGAACTCATTATTTCGTGCAGATTATTTATATACTATGTTATTTTAAAACTGCATCACTAAACTAAACATATATAAGCACTCTCGACTGTTTGATGTATTTGCTATGTTGAACTTGTTGGTATCCTTGACATTCCAAGTAAAACTTCCTTTTATTGCGAATTACATCGGCTTAGATACGGCAAAAACTAGCAAATGCCTTTGCATGTACACGAAGACTTGCACTACGTATATTATCTGGTAACAAGTAGATCATTTTGTAATATTCAGCCAAGAGGTCAAGATCACCTTTCATTTTTGTTGTTTAAAAGTTCATTGACCTTGATAATATTAAGTAGACTTAGTAATAGCTTCACGATAATATTTATGATTCATACTGAGACTAACAATTGGATTTTATATAGCCCAATATATTCCTTCTTGTTCTTATATATTTAATCAATTGGGTTAGAGACATTAATCTTCCCGTTATGTTTTCCTGATAATTGTAACAGAAGTTGAGGCACTTAAGATTAATTTCAAATTGCTAATCAAGTAATTTCCACGCACATTACCGAAATTGTTTTGTATAAAGCAAAACAAAACACAAAGCGCGCCAGTTTAAAACGGTTGAGTGAACTTGGCATCCTAAAAACGTAATTGACTATTGTCTGCTAAATGCTAATCACGATTGCCTGGTTTACTTACAACTTGTTACATATCTTATCTATTTCAATGTTTATATCCATACAATCGACTTAAGATATAGAATATAATTACAACACTAAAATAACAAGGGAATCCCTCTATGTGAGCATTTTCTTTCTTTGTGAAACTTTAAATAATATAATAATATTAGGACATGAAAATGTAAAAAATAAATCACGAAGTAAACTTGCGCCACACAGTTTTCGAAATTGTCCAATCGAATGTCGGATTCGAACTACAACCGTCGTTTCGTAGTCCGTACCATAAGTACCCTATTGACACCGCTCCTAAACCTTTATCTCTATTTGATTTCTTTTTCAATTAATGGACTTTGTACTAAATATTACACTAACCTAGTTGACTGTTTTCCTGGGCATCCTCACAACGACCGACGACTCTGATGATGGCTCTTCCAGCTAGTCGGGCGCAGATCATCATGGCCGGGGCCCTAGGGTCTCCCTCCTCCGCCTCCGCAGGCATCCTAGCACCTTCGTATTCAGACGGTGGCCTCATCACTGCACTTGATTAACACTACTGCACTACTGAGTCCTTGAAGTCAATACACAGTCTATCACAGGAGCATACCAGCATACACCGCCCCGAAACGCAACGCGCCTGGCAGAGCGGCAACCACCTTTAGTATTCGAACGCGGTCGCTGCGTCAGCCTTTATACCGTCGCCAAAACAAAGAAGCGTGGCGCGGGAGGGAGAGAACAACAATAACAATTTTCCGTCTCGCTCACGCCGTTCGCTGCGCAGTTTGCACGCAGGTTGATTTCTCGCGGAAGTACAGAGGAAAATTTATCGCGAATCCCGTCACAAAGAATTAACGTTTCCCGACTTAAATAAACGATGATCCCGAACGTGATTTGGGACAGTCTTTTGTCAAGTTTCCAAACAGCTGTTGTCAAAATTTACTTATCAGACTGCCTTTGTTGATTTTATCAGTACCATCATCACTGACTGACTACCAACCTTCGATAAACGCACTTCGAGCAACGTGGTTCACTGTTCACCGTTCAAAAACCGTAGTTGTTGCCAACTTGGAGTAATCTATGCATCCTAAGTATATTCAGTCATTCTAAGTGCAGTTTTTAGTGAATCGAGTTAATAAAGATTCAAACTTTCCCAATTCATCACAGGCACGACTATAAAACCATTGTTAATAAATTCAAGGTCACTATTACGAAACGTAGGTATTTCTTTATAACAAACACCACGAAAACAAATATTTTTTTATATTGTGGGGTAAAAAGGATGATTGCTACATGCTGTCACTTCCTAAGAATTAATTTAGATTTATGTAGATAGCTATCTCCAGGTTTATCGCTTGATATCTCAACCATACTTGTTATGTTTTACATAACAATAGCTTACTATACTTATAGCGTGAAAGTATAGTTAAATTTTCATTCGTTCCCATTGTATCGCATTGAATCCTCAACCATGCATTGTTACACTAATGGCCTAACTTTCTCCCTAAACAACCACAGACAAAAAGCAATTATTCAAATTCACCACGTAGTTGATTTTTGTAAAATAGAGCATGTTCCTTTTTATGACGTAAGACCAGAAATAAATGCCAACAGTTTTGATATAAACACGATTTTAATTTAAAAAAAAACGCCACAGGTAAAGAAAATCCCTCTACGAAAATATTTGACAATAAAAAGAATTAAGTAAATAACTATGGTTGAAATTAGAGTAGAGAAAGGAAAGATGAATGAATTTAAAAACATAAATCAACTGTATTAATGAGTAGTCAAGGCTATATACAGATTTAGCCTTGACTATTTATTAGTACTACCACATGGTACTAGTATTATCAAAGTTCCTCTGTATGCTGTTTGTAAATCTGAACAGCTGTTCGCAATTGTTAAGAAGCCTGTACAATGAATATCTAATTAGTTTCTATTATTTGCGTCAATTTTAACTTTGACGTCTATTATGTCGTCTTAGAGTGAGATGTTTTTGTTTTTCCGCCAAACAGAGACGCAAATTTTCAATTTTAGTAACCTTGAACGATTGCCAAGTCCGCGAACCGAGTCCCGTGTTCTCTGTATAGAAAACTGTCTATAACAGTAGATAAACAATCGTGTTAGGATAATATTATGAAAGTAAGAATATAATTTTCGGGACTGCGCAAAATTTAGTTTTGGTGTTCTTAAAAGCCAACAAGATCAAAAAAGAAAGAGCTAATAGGTTTGCTATCGTATAGAAATATTAGGTATGCGTGGAAAATATGTAGGGGTCTTTTGAACGCAGACATGTGCTGGCCTTGTGTAGCCCATTTGAGGTATCCGATTACGCTGCACTTGTATTAATACATTGAATAGAAACATAGTAGTCAAGTACCAGTAATCTCAACGCTCCGAACTCTAGGACTAAATTTGTATGCCTGCCTTCGGATAATCAGATTTAAAAAACATTATCTCATTTATTCTTGTGCGTAAGTGATATGCGCTTTTCTTTTAGCTTTGTAGACTTTTCTTCATTAATAGTATGCAGCATCTCTAGCGCCATCTGCCGACCTCGTTTCACGCAATGATCTGCGAAATTTTCCGTCGTAATGAGAACACTGACATTTCGCAGAAGTTTTTCTTTTTCACCGGCAAGTGTAGTGAGGTCGAATCCTTTGTGCTATTTTAGGAAAATTTGGACACGAGCCAGTCGCGTCTTCGTAATGCGTTCGACGCAGTTTGACCACGTGTTCGGGTCTTTGATCCGTCTCGTTGTGCTGGAATATAGAACTTCTGCGTTCGGTGCAAGGTTACAAAAGATTTACTAACAGAAGCAAGGACTTTGAACGATCTACGTATGAAAGGAGTGTTAATTTTCTTTGTTTCGACACATTCCAGATTGGTTAAATATTATCGACTAATTTTAAAGCGTCGTTTCATATTTAGCCCGTTTATTTCTAACTCGTTCAATGTTTATATGTAAATATCTTCTTTGTATAGCAATGTTGTTTGTTATTATATTTTCGATATGGTAGAGAAACGAGAAAATTGTAGACATTGTATTTGAAAACTTTTGTAGCTCAAGAAGTAAGTAAGATATTTCTACGTTATTACTGAGGTATTTTTAATATTTTAATGTAAAAAATTTGAAAATAGGTATCTTTATGATATACATTCACTAGAGGCCAACTCTACACGTACCCTTGGCCTATTTTGCGGGTAGTATGTGGTAAATCCTACGCCTACCACGTGGTTACTGAGTGGTTGTTGGTATCTGTCCTTTACAATTTCCTCGATGTTACAACAATTTTAGCCGGGAAGCTGCGTATATCCGTAGTCTAAGAAGGTCAAGGTCTGTCTAGTGCGTAGTTAGGCCACAAAAAATATCCTAAATATATTATGATAATAATGTTATACTCTACTATAAGGGAAAGTTTTAACTGACTACTACTACTGTATAAAAATAATTGATTAATTGATTCGGATAAACTAGTCACTACCCCGATTTTTTAATTTCTCTCACGACCTGTATTTTTAGCTTTATTGATTTATCAACTTTAAAGAATTCGAAAGTATTGGTAGAAGGAAATAAAATACAAACGTAGATTGAACGTCTCTATATTAAGTAGTATCAGGTGGGAGGGTCCGTGGCATCTGCACGCTGCGCCAGCTGTGCTGCCGCGCAGCAGTGCAGCATCAGCGCCGTGAGCGCGCAGGCCCGCCCCTCGCCGCTATCCTCACCCGCCTCCCCCCCCCCCCCCCCCC